AAACCCTAAACCCGAGAGATGTTTGCATCGTAGTACAGTGGATTCAAATTTGGGGTTTTATTAGGGTTTAGGGTTTTATTAGGGTTTAGGGTTTAGGGTTTTGTTTAGGGTTTAGGGTTTTGTTTAGGGTTTAGGGTTTTCAGAGTTCACACAACAGAAATAACGAGATATTATACAACTAGGGTTTAGGGTTTATCGTTTATTCTCTCATTAGGGTTTAGGGTTTATAAATTAGGGTTTAGGGTTTAGGGTTTAGGGTTTACCGAGTCTCCTAGTGTGAGTTCATAACAAATATATCGATAGATTCCAGGGTTTGTGGTTTGTTTTATTTTTTGTTTTAAATCAAAATCAGCATAAACAGAACAAGAGAAAGAAGGGCCCCCAATATCTGTTTCTTTTTCTTTTAGTACTATATCTGCTTGTTTTTTTTTTATGTTGCTGCTGCTGCTGCTGCTGCTGCTGCTGCTGCAGCTGCTGCTGCTGCTGCTGCTGCTGCTGCTCCATAGTATACCTTTGTGCTGCCGCAGCATCTGAGCATAGAGAGAATCCAACAAAACCCTAATTGTTTCACGAGGCCCCCTAAACCCTCCTAGAGGGGGAGAAATATCTGCTGCTGCTGCTGCTGCTGCTGCTGCTGCTGGTGTGAGCTGCTGCTGCTGCTGCTGCTGCGTAGCAGCAGCAGCAGCAGCAGCAGAGGGGTCGCTAGAGGATAAACCCTCAAAAAGAAACCCTAAAGGGAAAGACATTGAGCGAGACAGAAACAGACAAATGTCAAAAAGCTGCTGCTGCTGCAGCAGCAAAGCCTGAGATTCACGAAACGCCGACCTGCAGCAGCAGCAGCAGCAGCAGCAGCAGCAGCAGCAGCAACAGCAACAGCAGCAGCAGCAGCAGAAAGAAAAGGGAATGTTGTTAGAAAAAAGCAGAAGAGATACAGAAAAAAAAGATGCTATATTAGGGTTTTATTTTAGGGTTTAGGGTTTCATTAGGGTTTAGGGTTTAGGGTTTAGGGTTTAGGGTTTAGGTATTGAATAGGGTTTAGGGTTTGATGAGGGTTTAGAGTAAAGCAATCTGAGTTAAATTAATATTTACAATCCAAAAATAATTTATTTTTTATTTTTTATTTTTTATTTTTTATACTCTCATCAGGGTTTAGGGTTTAGGGTTTAGGGTTTAGGGTTTATTAGGGTTTAGGGTTTATTAGGGTTTAGGGTTTATTAGG